GAAAGCACATTATACAAAATACAAAAAGTTGCAATATTGCTGATCAACTTGTAATTGATGTAAGACAAGTTATAGTTAAAAAACTTTGATTTTATTACAATAATAATTATAGCCAATAAAAAATGGATATGAGAATCATGAATCTCTCACCCAATACTATTACACTAGTGATGGAAGAACAGGACAATGGACTCATGAATGGGTCAGTTTCATAATAAAAGCATGCTTGTAATAGCATTGATTAACAATTACATGTAACCTATTATAGGCAAAACCACCACCAACTGCTTACCCAACTCCATTACGTATATTTCTTGTCAGTGGTGATATAAAACTTATACATGAAGTACAACAGTAAGTTATGACAACTCTGCCATCATGATTTATTTACCTTATAGAGTACTACAAGAATTACAAGCCAATGAGAGACTTAATGGGGTAATAGCTACAATTTTAATTATAATAAATTAACTTTGGTATTTCAGGAAACCTATTCTGATAAAGATAATCACAATTTAATGCGACCACTCAAAACGACTGAAGCAAAAGCTTTAGAAGCACAAGATACTGACAAATAATGTCCTGTTTCTTTATAAACTTTATTTACATGTACATGTACAATACAAGTACACTAAAAAACACAGCTACTAGTTAATAATAATACATCCATACATGTATAATGCTGAACTGATAGTTGTCCTTATTGTGTTAAGTTAAACAATACAAATATAACAGCGTTAGATTATAAATACTCGTTAATAATTAATTGTAATGAAACTGAGAAAGAAAGAAAGACAAGATTACAATAATAACGTCACATCTCAATAGAAAGAGAGAGAATTAAAAATATAATAATAATAATAATAATAATAATAATAATAGTTAATGTGTACATGCAGTATTAGAGTGTACCAGTGGATCCTAATTTAGTGAGATCCATTGAACTAAATGAATGTCCATATCCTAATGCTTGTCTTTTAGTGGGAGGAGCTCTCATTGGAGTAGGAGGAAAAGGAGGAGCTACTGATAGTGTACAAGTATTGAGAGTAGAATCCTATGAGAGGAGAGAGAGGGAGGGAGGGTGTGTCACTCATAGTATTCTTACTAATACTATATTACTTACAAGATCAGTAAATGATTCATCCATTGTGTCTAACTGATCAACATTTTTACTAATAATATAAATACAATATGTA